TATAAACAAGACTTCTCCATTAACCATCACCCGGTAGGTACCCCACAATATAAAACCACTTGACTTCAATAACTTTATTTCACTTTTATAATCAATGAAATTAACAATATAATTGATCAAACAAACGAACTTAAAAAATGCGTGTGCGCCATCTTTTGTTTGTCTTACTAATTGTTGGGGCTCCAATGGAAATACAAGATCGTTTTAGGATGGTTTTAGGTCTTTCTTTATAATTATTACAATCATAACTCTTTACTATCATGTTACTCTGGTACCCATAGTACAGGGAATTCCCATGCTTGAGACCAGGCATTTGGTATTTGTCTAGCACGTCAAAATAGTTAGATTAAAGAAGTTTTTAAAAATGTTAAAAGTTGTATTATTACATCATATTTATAACGCTTTCTTCCCTGAAGCATTAGCTATTGGTAATTCTGATCATAAAACCCGCACCACAGTGAACGCGCGCGGTATCCCTCAGTTTAGCGTAAATACAGCACTTGTTCACACCACAGTGCACATTGGCATAAATATTTAGTATTGAACCTAACGAAAGCATACAGGCAATTAATAAAGGTGTATTATCTTGTACACGAGCCGATGCAATAAATTACTTCACAGTGCCATTGCAAAATGATTTTGCACGCTTGCGATTGCAATTTTTTACGCTTGCCTACCTGTACCTTAGTGATAGGTACCTATAACGATTTTATTTCAGTAAGAAACCGTAGTCAAGGTAATTACTTTTATTTACATTTACATTACAATACAGAGTCTAAAAACCATCAAACTAGACTCGAAAGATTTAAAGTCAACTGTATGCCATCTGCGATAAGAAAGTCTCGAAGTCCAAAGTGATCTGCTCTTGGCTTAGTTATACCTTAAATTCTTTCTTCAAATAAACGTATTTAAGCAGAATAAAAAATAAACATTGATCATGAAACTACTTTAAAGATAAACGATTATTAAAATATCCAAAAAATTGTTATTTGTATAAATATTATTATAAAATAGTAAATCCTAAACTCTCGTCTGAAGGAAGACCCTTCCCCAGTATAAGGACGTATAAATGGCAACCCATTTATACGTCCAATCCATTTGTATAAATGGGTATACATTTATATGATGGTGATGATGGCGATGATGATCAATATAAATAACAAAGTATTGTTATCCTTCTACCGTTATAATAACCATTGTACATGAAACTGTTAACAATTGTTATTAATATTGTATTTATAATAATGATAATATAAAAGTACTATCTAAACTCTGAGACGAAGTCGAAGGTGAAAATGTAAACAAACAACTGTCACTGTCAAAGTGACATCTCATAGATCATAAACCTTTTTTTCACGTTCGTTTATTAATCCACTCTGCAATAAAGCTCGGCTTTGCACATAAATATTTAAATTATTTCTGAAAATTTGTAAATTATCAATAAAGTGTCTAAATAAAACATAATAAATTGCAATATAAAAAATAATAGTAGACAAAAAAATAATAAATCAACAAACAGCACAAAAACAAAAAAGAGCTTGAACTTAAGATTTAAAATTAACTCTATGCTGCTTGCGATAAGCTTGTTGTACACTTGACTGTACCTTTTATCAAACAATCATAAAAAAATCCTTAACAGGAAATGAAACTATTTTTCCGGATTTAAATTGCGTATATTTGTTTTTTCTTTCAAACAAACCGACGTTTCGGGCCCTTTACAGGTCCCATGGTCACGGTTCACTGAGGTACTACCAAGGTCAAGAAAAGAAAAAACAAATATACGCGATTTAAATCCGGAAAAATAGTTTCATTTCCTATGTGTAACAATCGCGAAAACCTAAGAACTCAAAATCTTTAACTTCACAGATTCATAGCCCAATGCACGGAGAGAACCCTAAATCTATACCTATGGGCGACGAGCGAGTACTCCCATATGGTCCCAGCCATTGGCAACCCAGATGTGCTCATCAGCGAAGGTTTCGACGAGGACCCCCTTTGACACCCACCAGGGGACCCCTCACCGGATAATCAGTTAATTAAATAGGTAAATTTTGGAAGGCTGTGCGTGAATCTTGTTTATTTATTTTACTATTGAATGTATTGATTTGAATGTATGACGTTAGGAATAGAAGACAAAAAAGATGGTTCCATGACTTGTTATCGAAAGTGGGGAAATGTTATGAAGTCCACTTAGCTCACCACAAATTCAAGTATTCAATTTTAAACTTTATTACTAATCAGGTAGGTATATAAAAATTTTAGGAAGATGCATTTATTTCAGCATTTTTTTTATTACAAAAAAATGGCAATGTTTTTTAAATTTACTCGTCATTAGATAAAGAAATTTTTAAATCATGTAACTTCTAAATAAACTTCGCTTACCATATCGCGTAGCTTCCATAGTTTTGTCTACAATAATATTTTGTTTGTTCACTTATTACGTCAATGCTTATTATATTGTAATTTACACAAGTGCTACCTGTGAATATACAGTTATTGTAACGATTTTGAAGGTAATCGAGTCTATACTCATGATTTCCGAATGTGTATATTGTTCCCTTTAAGGAGCTACCACACTTATCAGTACAAAAAGTCCATTTAATAAATACATTTACATCAGCAATTTACATCAGTTTTCTGTACGACAAAAGCCGATACCGTGTTTAATATATATGATAACACCCTTATTATGCATGGACCTGACTTCAATTTGTACTTATTCGGAATTTCATGTTATTTTGTTTATCGTGACGTAAATACCGGCTTAGCGTTAATATTTTAAGTTACGCTTATTGTAATATTAAAAAAAAACAATAGTATATAAAATACATAACGCGATCGTAAAAATATAGAAATGATTATAATTACCCCAAAAATAATTCATATATAGTATTGATATTTGTGTAGCTCCAAAGGCACCTTATGGCGTAATTTTTGTGTGTGTGGGTGTTATTTAATAAATGTGTATCAAAAACTTTAAATCCATTATCCAATTTTAACAAAATCCATTAAATGTAAAGCGATCATTAACACAAACATGACCTAACAATGACTATTTAGTATCGATTTTAATAACACCCATACCAAAAACTGCTTAACATATTAAATATAAGAAGGTTCAACGGAAAATGAATTATATCTGATTACTATGAAAAGTTAATTTTGTGAAAATTGAACTGTATAAATTTTACTATCTAGACATGAGTAATTCAACTCAAATGTCGATTAACCCTTTCTACCTTTCAACGGTTGTATAACATTGTGGACTTATACTTTACAAGTTGTATTTACTAAAAAAAAAACTTATCAGCACGTAGTAACGTAAACGTGTGCTTTATATGTCGCTTTGTCAGCATGCACCAGGTCAAGCCTGCTGATGACGTGTGCCGAAAAGTGAGGTCCGACCATAAGGTACCTTTACCACGAACTGACATTATTTTTTACAAAACCTTAATTGTAAATTTCAACGCTACGTAATATAGGTGTAAATAAGTAAATTATGTTTTTCTGTAACACCGGAACTGTACTTAGGAGAAGATTAACCAAAGATATTATTTTAATGATCAAATTAATTTCTTGGTTCACTCGGAGGCTAGTGCCCAGTGGTGATTATCATTTATTCTATGCAACAATGACGTCATTATATATCTATTTAAAAGATGCAACCACTTGAGTTTCTTACTCACATCTTAAGGGATTTACCTTGCAAATGAGTTGTATTATTTTAAAATTTGTATTATCAAATTTAGATTTTGGGGTCGTGTAGGTTTGTTTCAAATGACAATGTACTTATTTTCTTTTGTCTCCTTTAAATGACATTGGATCCACAGACTGTATAAAATATATTCTCAGACTATGAAGTACAAATTCGAGTTTGGAGTATAAGTTCCCTTTTTAGAAGTACTTTAACAATATTTACAGAATAATGTAATTTTGCAGCACCGTCAGTGACTGACCGTGTTCTAATTTAGTACATTATATGAAACCATGTCAATATACAAAAAGGTCCAATTTTTTAAATGATTTTCAAATTCTGTTTTGTAGTTTTATTGACTGTATAAAAAGTGTAATACGTAATAAATTGGAGATTATTGTGGTTTTATATTATCTCTATATTTGTTTACAAATATTTAAAAAATCCCAAAACAAAATTGGGTATTATTTTTATTACTATTACGAAATAACAGCTTTAGAATGCTTTTAAATATAATATCCATAAGTTTCATCACAGAAAGATTGCAAAGAAAGGGCTTAACTGTTCTATGACGTCATTGTTCTATAGAATAAATGGGAAGTACTCGTGCAGTTGACGGGATATGTATTTATTTTTTTACTATGGAGCAGCATTAGATAAATACTTACTGTAATCGCTTTTGTTTCTCTTACCCACCTTCGGGATTGTTTGTAGTGTGTTATCACACATTATTGTACATCACTGGGATTGTTACTGTGATACTATTGTTTATTTTGAATTTTCTTAATGAAGTAGACTCGTTAAAAAAGATGAGTGTACATGCTACTTTTTTGCTCATGTACCTACAAAGGTGAAGTACAGAATGATACGCACAAATACGCTTGTCTCGAAAGTCTGCCTGAAATGTACGTCTGCATTCAAAACTAACGATTATTCAATTTCTGAAATCCACTAGTAGTTTCCGAAAATATACGAGAATTATATTTCTACGCGGATTTTCAGGGTAACTTTCGAGTTAGACTTGTCAAATATACATTTTGTTAAAATACCTTAATAATAATTGCATGTAAACTTTTCCTCTTTAGCTGGTTGTATTTCGTCGCTTTAATAACAGACAACCCTATCTACACAATTCTTATTTTTCAGGAGGATTAAAAAAAACTACTTTTGAGTAACCTATTTCCGCGGCAAAGTAAAGTAAGCCTTAAGGAAATTATCAAAAAATCTGTATCCATGTAGATAACGTTGCCTGCCATTAATGCGATAATTTGTATGAACGTACACTTACCTACTTAAACATTTTTTTATTCGTGTCCACATTGAAATGTTATTTATTTTAAAGTATTTTGTCATATGGTCTTCCATTTATTTCGCGTACTTCCCTGCATTTCGTTGTACCAGTACAAACTATGTAAATATAAAATGTTATTTTACAAATATAATGTTAAAGAAAATTTTGATGAAATTGCTTGTTTATTATTTCAATCTTGATGCTAGGTTAAATTATCATATCATTTGAGATAACTGTGACCATCATAACCACTTTATAGAGGTGCTCGATGGTCAAAGTCGTCGTAAATGGATGCGAACGACATTCCTAATCGATCTGGTTGTATGAAAAATCGCCAGTCGTCATCGAATCTATTTTGACTATAAGTCTGCAACGTTATAATTATAACTAATTTATTTATTATGAACAATAAGGCCAATACCAAATAGCCTATATAATTTTAAGCAGACATACATCTATGTTTGTGATTTTAAGAGTTCGTCCAGGGAAGAACTGCCACCTTGCCTATTTCTGCAACCAAAAAGTAAGGTCGTTTGTTGGTGGTCATAGTCATTAAGTCAGATCTTTGTCATTTAAAGCACTGTGTGGCACTGCAACGGTTATGGACAGGCGTGTTCACCACCAAGCGCACGACTTGTTCATTCCGTCACATGGTATCTTAAAAAAACGCCAGTTAGCATATTCTACTGCAAAATTTGACTAATCAAAGACAAGGAATCGTGATTTAGTTATTTTTTTCCATCCTCTAAGTTTAGTCCGTTCTAATTGCAAAAAGTAGACTGTTGACAAGTTACCTACACGACGCGAAAGTCTTCGCGCGCAGCCGCCGCCGCGCCGTTATCACGGTTTAACATTCTTATATTAATGGCAAATCTGAATTCTATTTACTATATAATACAACCGCGCGTCGCCGCTTAGACCAAAGACAAACCAGACTCGCCTACGCGCCCGGGACGCTGATTTAAGTTAATACGTAAAAGCTAAATAAATAGAGCGTATTTTGCCATGACAGTTAGATGCACACGGTCGCTGCGCGGAGACCGGGCGGCAGCCGCGCGATGAAATTCGTGTCGAATAAAGGCTCAACTCACACTGGCGCAGCATCGAAGCGTGGCGTAGCGTCTTGTTTTTCAACTACAAAAAGGCGATTGCGAATACGATTCCGTATTTGAAAAACATACATTTGTACCTTAATAATGGGAAAAATAGAGATGAATATGCTATAGGCGAAAAACATGACGCGACGCTTCAGACTCTGCGCCAGTGTGAGTTGAGCCTTAAGGTGTTGTTTGGGACAAAAAAACGAGTAAATGGCGCCTATTCATCTGACTAGTTTCAAAAGGTGGACCATGGTCACACTGGAATAAGAGACGCAAAATTATAGGTATATGTTGGTCAATGGAAAAGCAGCCGTTCTCCCACTAGGCTACCAAGCAATAAAATCAAATAATCAATTTCGATTAATTTATTATAATGTGCGATGTTAAAATATGTTTATTACAATAAAGCATTTCAACTAGACAACTACGACGATCGCTCGCGCTCGCCATGCAACCTCACTTGTCCATTTTAACAGACCTATACAAAACCAGTACATTTCATTCAAGGCAAAACCAGTTACAATATCGATAATATTACAATTATTTAAAAAAAAAATCATAATAACAAAGTAAAAAGAGAGATTTTTCTTTCAGTACAATCGGTGAAGCCACTCTGATACAGAGCACCGATGTTTTTTATTTATTAATTAATAAGCTATCTAATAATATTTTGCCATAGTATACATATTCCCTCGTGTGTTGTGTTAATAGCTAGGACGAAATGAAATATTATAATTAAAAGTATTTCTGAAAGTGAACATCGTGATTGGATCTATTTTAAACACATTACCAGGTAGCACCAGACTCATCAATATTATTTCTATTACAATTTTACAACTAATGGAAGAAGCAATTATTTTGCTGTTCATTTATGAATTTGCAATTCTGCGTTTTCTACAACGGCAATTGTCGAGCTTACACCGGCGATGCAAGAGAAACAATACAAAATAATGCCTTAGAAATGTTACAGATGAAAGGTTCTAACAAAGTCGAATTTTATATCATTCATAAAACAAATTTTCACTTGATGAAGTTAGAGGTTTTAAAAAAAATTGTCTAAATTGATTCTGGTCTAGGTAGCCGAGTTATTGTTGCTCTAGTTCTCATAGCACAGAGTATCCCCTAGATTGAATTGTCTGGCGTATAAAAGTTGTTGCCACAGAAACAAATTCAAAATTACCACACAACCGAGGCAATCATACATATTTATAATATTACCAATATTACAACATAATAAATAAATACAAAACTGAAAACAAATGACTGAGAGAACTTACGATAGCAGTTAGTCTTTTAAGTAGTTTTACTATTTTTTTTAAATAAAAAAAAAGAACAGTTTTACGATTTTTATCATGAGAATGAGTCTAATAATAGTTATTTATAAATTATGGGAGAAAAATCTGCGTATAGAAATTAATCTCACCGACTCACGCTTTAGTCATGTAGTAAGAGGGCCATTCCGACAATAAATCGATTAAAGTCAACACCAAAAGAACTTTTCACGTGCATGTCGAAATAGCTCTCGTAAACGCAATAGCCGAAACGCCGAAGCCACGCCTCGGCAGATCGCTAACAAAAAAAGGCAAAGATTGTCAACCGCCACAGAATTAACAAATACTAAGTGGACCGACTCTTACAACATTCAAAATCACACGAAAATTACATTTCAATGCAGCTGTCCATTGCCGTGAATGGATTTTGTAACTTTCATTAACAAATATAGGTTACCACGAATTTATCCGTTACAGAATCACGTTTGCATCGCACTTTCAATTATAAAGTGACATAATACGAAAAGTGCGTTGGGGAATTTACAAAACAAATAATTAAAAAAATAATTAATCACTTTCATATTATCCAACAGAATTTTGTCAAGTGTTTCTAAAATTACTTTTCGAGTTGTCACTTTTTATAGAGGGTGCGTTATGTATGTCATATTAATACCATAAAACCAGACGGATGTACTGCATCAGGACGCTCCGGGCTTAGCCCTACTAAAAAAGCTACCCTACGTTTCTTAACAAAAGTCACCGTCATTAATTAAAGTTATTAGAAAATTAAATTCCTGGTTACATGTTAATGCCGAGCGTGTTAAAACTGCCGTACTAAAGTAAAATACAACCATGGTCATCTCGAGGACTTGAGGAAATGTTCGTTAGATTTAAACCTCGTTTGTCCATTGTGGAATACCTAAATCTAATTCGAAATAATATAAACAGGTCTTTCGTGTTTTAGATTCACAACCATGCTAGCATCAATATACCAAAACACCCCATGAACGTGCAAGTAAACAGGGCATTGTTTTGACCCCGGTTAATAAAATATTTGCCCATTTAACTATGCTATAGGAATGGCTGTAGTCTGAAATGACATTTTCCAGAAATAACGTTTGGTCGAAATTTCATAACCTCGAAAGTAATTTTGAGAGGAAAATGTTTTTTTTTCTTTTAAACCTAACCGAACCTAATCGTGTCTTTGCGACAAACCTTCCAACATATCCTGAAAGAACAACTGTTTCGTTATAATTCGGTTTTCGGTGTAATGAAATTTCGAACACACGTTATTTCGGACAAAAAAATGTTCGACTTTGTGATAGGTTACCCATGGTCAGGGATCAAAAATGTGAATGAGATATATGCAGAAAGCAATCGAAAGCAGAAGGTAGCCAGCCAGGAATCGTGGTTGTTTCTAACAGGTTATCTGGTCATTATCCAGTCGCAAGAAACTGGTTTTAAAATGGCACGGATGTTTTACTGTCAATACATGACCAGAAACAAATTTCATTTTCGATCATAACGCCTTTAAAATAAGCTATCCAATTGGTGGACCGGGTTTTAAAACAGCTTTGCAATTCGTACCACGTCATGGATCAATGTTAACATAATCAACGAGTAAAGAAAGCACACAAGTAAATCAGTCCGAGACAACTATTTGCTAGCACCATATCACGCCTAATCTCATAGTAAATGGAATGGGAAGCAATCTCAACTTAGAACATCATCAAGGACCAACAATTGTGTCAACCATCCGTCTACAATACACTCGAAAACAGATCGTATAAAAACAATTTAGACTACGTTTGGAACAAAAAGCGCTACTTATTTAAACTGAAGAACAAGCAACAAAAAGTCAAGATTAACATGCAAAATAAACATATCTCAAATTTTAGATGAAATATAGTCACCATTGGATTCAGGGGCTGACACGTCTTTTTTCCAAGGAAGCTTTTCAGGTGTTCATATTAGAAACGAATTATTTTTTAAGAAATGTCTTCATTACGTTACTTGCCTGTCTGTTTGTCTCGATTAACAGAAATTTTCTGGTCGAGTTGGTTCTATCGAAGACGCCAAGTGCGCTCCAGGGCCAAGCTATGAGCTATAAGCTATTAATAAAACAATACTTAGGGTGGTCATAGCGAATAACCACAATTATAAGACACATTCTTAGAACTCACTTTTTAACATACTAACCACTGAATTCAACAATGATAATAATTTAGAATATTATAACAATGTCTAAAACCTGCGATACACACCTTTCGTGTTACGCTTGGATTAAGTTTTAATCGTTCTTGTTTAAAATGAATCATATTCAGCGATGATGACAAGTCAAAATATTATGACAATGTTTATTCTAAAATCTGAGATTCATTACTTTTGCGCCGAGTCTGGGTATTTTTTATGAGCTGTTTTGACCAGACTGGTTGAACACGCTATCATTGTCCTGTCTTCTTCCACCAATAACATAAATTTAAAGATATGTAGAAATAACTTCTATACACTGATTTTAACAACATTTCACAAGGAATCTATCAAATTTAATACTTTTAAGTGTAATTTTGTTTTTAATGTATGTCGTAGCCTTTTCTATTTTTGCACACAGTTATTTTGTACTGAGTAGCAACCAAACGTGCTCTTATTTAAATTTCAATAAAGTCCAGTTTAAAAATACAGCATTTTCTATTTCTTTCTATTCAAAATAGTAACTATTGAATATTTTTTCTTAATGTTAATTATGAGTACACGTAAATTCATTATTCTATCTATAGGAGCTTTGACTACAACTGCACTGGTTAGAGAAAGATGGAGTTGCTCTTTGACAACGAAAAGGGCTCTCTCCGTTGTTTCCATCTTGCTCTATCACATAATATGATCTCATGTCCTCTTTTTACAATATCCGTTAATTCTCACTTGGGCTACGACACTTCACAATGTCGAGTACTTCGAAGAAACATTTAAACAAAAAAATGTCATGGAACATCCCGTCTTTACTCATCACAAAAGTATAAGAACGTCTGCTTGTATCAAGCGTTTTGTGAGATCAATTTAGTCTGGCTTTTCGACTTGTAAAAGGCAATATCTAACATAACGTCACCTTAGAGCGAAAATCTCGTATGTTATGTAATTTTTCAGAACGAAGATAAAAATGTGGTGTAAAATAAAATGTTGTAAACGCAACAACGTACGTAGACCTCTTTCAGATACCATATTACTTTAACAATATATTTGACCGAGAAGTTTATAAGTTTTTCTTCAACAAAAATCAGTAAAAACGAACTACGTAAAAACGCATATGCGTGGTTTTCCCTCTGAGGCGACGATAACTAGAACTGCCGCGCTACCTAACACTGGCAAGTGTCTAAGTTAACTGGTCGTTTGTTCGACAATAAAGACATAAAACTTGAGCTCTAGTCCCGCTCAACACAGCAGCCGCTCCAAAATCTAATAGGCCATGAGTTAAATGCAAAATCACTTATGTTAAAAGAAACATACAATATTAATTCAATCTCGCACCCGTCTTTGTATTAAATCGTTTAAACTCTGTGCACCATTGTTTCGTACACAGTTTTTTAAAGGCATACTGCACTCTGATTTAAAAAAATAATAAATTATTCTAGAAACAGTTATTACAGCAACTTAAATAATAAAACTTTGCTTTGTTTCAGCAAAATCTGAAGGCAAACAAAAATGTAACTTACGCGCATTTACATAAACTACTTAGTAGTAACGTAAAACGTCTTTTAAATTACCAAGATTAATTGCGTTATCGGATCGCTTAAGTATTGTATTTCAACTCATGACGGAGCAGTCTCTGGAAATAGGCTTAAATGGACAAGTGGCTGATCACCGTCCTAACTCAAAATTTATGGCATCCTTAGGCCCGGCGCCCACTGAAGGGACTTGGCAAAGCATTCTGCCTACCCTCACCCCGATACCCGTGTACTTGCACTCGGCGTACCGAAGCATCCCCAGGACTGCAGAGGCATCCCTGAGGTTGCCAGCTCGGCATCCTTATGCATAACCGCAGCTTTATTTTGCAGCTACGATCATTATCATTGAAATTGCAACTATAATGTCATAATGTTAAGGTATATTACTTTTTTTTAAATATTAAGTGACGGGACGGACAAATCGTGCACCTGATGGTAAGCTACACGCCTATCCGTAACAGTTGCAGCGCCACTCAAGAGCTTTCAATCGCAAAGATCTGAGGAGCAGTTGCATTGCGCCCGTCACCCTGAGACGCACATATGTTGACAAGTCCCACCGACATTACTGCTTGGCAGCAGACATAGGTAACTAGTCCTGTCAGTCAGTGGGAGTCGGGTCTTAGTGGCCTAGCGCTTAGCATCACGGACGCTTGGCATTAAAATCCCGGATGCGATTCCAGGTACGACTAATTTGTAAATTTTGTTAATCTGGTACTCTCGTTTGGGACCAGGTAATAAAAAAAACTGTGTACGAAACGAAGCAAAAATCCACAGACAACAAACTCATGTACAAACAGCGAATTATTTTGTTGAACCCAGTGCAATGAATTCGGGCGTTTGTGCTTTAACACCTCTAAAACAGTCTCTCATTTCACGGCGGCACAGTTTAGTACACCAAGCTTGTCATTACACAACCTGTCACAACACATCACGACTTGTCACAGCATGTGGCGAATTGACGGAATTAATAAGCGAAAAATCAAAGTAGGCCAGCTACAATATTTTCGCTCGATAACAAATACTGTTTGCGCTTGTCGCGCTCGTTTTCATGTTGTGAATACCGTCATTCAGTTCAACTGGTCAATTACGATACGTAGCGTCGTTGATTTTAAGTCTAAACTAGTTACGTTTTCTAGAGATCTTTTCGTGAACTACGTAACTTTTATTAGACGTCATTATTTTGACAATTAATAAGATGGATTTACATAACAGTCCAACCGCCCATGACACATAAACAAAGACATTTAAAAAAAAACTTTTGTCTTTGTTTTGTAACTGTTCATAATTTAAAATCTTTATAATTAGAATTACAAATACACTTTAGACAACACAAAGACGCCACGTACGCGTACGACAGGCATTTATCGACAAATGCAACAGTGACACAGACAGGCATGGGGTTGTAGCGTAGTCTACGTAGAAACGAGCGGAGGCTAGTGATGCCTCACTGGCGGGGGCTGGATACGCCGAGAGATATGCTCCTCTTGCTGCATCTTGGTACGAAATTCGGCTACGAGATCTCGTGACTGGTTCAATACGGCTAATTGTTCGTTCAGGAGTTCCTCCCATTGCGTCGCGTACGCTGCAATAAAAACCAAGGTTGCAATTCTGAAAGTTTTATATAGTGAAAATTTTAATATGTTACAAAGTGATGAAAGTAAATTAAAGAGTGACAAGGTACTTTCGACTCTGGTACAGCGATGCTAGAATTTATTTTTAAACCTCCCTACGTGGCGAGCATATAAATCCAAAATGTTAGTTTTTTTAATATAAAGGAGCTATAGACGGCGAATCTGAATATCTATAAAGCAAGCAAGCAAGTAACGCCGTTTTCCCTTGCACAACGATAAAGGTCGACCACGTAACCGGTACCTTGTATAGTTGGCGAGATATTATTTGCAACGATTCGTCTTATCGCTTCATATCTTTAGAATACAATAGGACCAAAAACCATCTGTATAGAGGAAACAATATATTTTAGGCACTTTTACGCATTGACACTTATTCTAAACATGATAACCTTTATGAGGGATTAACTTTGTTAGATTTAGTAAGAAAAGAATCGGCAGTCCATATTTTACGAAGTACCTACAGTTAAAAAAAACGATCTGATGAGAAAAGAAATCATTCAAAACTAGAATTCAGAAAAAACATTTAACGCATGACCCGTACGATGGAACAAAATCGTTAAATCCACGTACGCTTTGAGGTAAATAAGTGTTAATGGTTTTATTACTATATACTATACTATACTACTATACTATATAGTAGTAGAAAGGATAAGCCGTTCCAAGAGACAACATTCATTGGTGCAAATAATATTTTTTCAACTATACAAAAATGCTTCTTGAATGGATTTCAAAAAATAATTGGGACTTTATACATATAGGTATAGATTTTGGAATGATCGAATAATTTAGATTACAAAGCCAATACATTCCCTTTCATGCCTATGAGCGGTAGCAGTGGCATTAACGTTTCAAAGGTATGGAGCAGCGAATGATTTACACGTGGCTTACTATACGCGGATTTTCAATTAGAGATAATAAACTGAAGCTTGGTGGGATGCTAGTTTAAAACTCACTCAATGTGTCGTTAAGGTAAATAATATATCATTGAATTTAAAAATCAATAATTTGGTAACACACAGCTTAGAAAAGTATGAATATTGGTATTTTTCTGTTCCTCTTCATATTCGTTATCCATGTCGTGCGCGTGATGGTAAGTTGCAGTGCCAATCAGAGCTTTTAATCGCCTGGAAGGCACTGCCACTGCGAAGTGTCAATGAAATATTATTAAGCGAATTTTTTATAGAGTCAAAAATCTTGACTTAGTTTGCCTCTGTCAAAAATCTTGAACGTTTCTATTGAAATAATTCTATTTCAGTGGTTTCTTTGAGAACTGGGCCAAACATCGCTATTCAATAGACTTGGCAACATTATTTTTCAAAATGACATTATAGTCCATTTCACATAGGGTGGGTACTGCGACATTTCACATTCTCACGTTGCAATACTATTTTTAAGTTATCTCTCAACCAGCCACCAAAAAGAAATAGTAAATTTGTTATAATATACCAAAAACAAACAATATTTGTCGGAGTTGTGATTTTAAATAAAAATTTCAGTATATTAAGTAGATAGGAACGGAAATGACAATAATAAAAATAAATTACCCCAACTACTTGATGCGGAAAACGGAATATTTTTCCAAAGAGAAAGACGCCATAGAATCGATAAATCGAATCGGCATCAATACGAGTGCATACACCTTGTATGCGGGTCGATTTCTTTAGTTTTGAGTTTCGCATAACGTTTTGGAGTAATTACATTGACTTACAAATAAATGGACGACGGGTCTAATACAAAAACCACGAAAAAAATGTCCCAAGTCAACCTATTCGAAATTTAAATTGTTATGTCATCGCAGTATCGCGCTGTCCGTAGAACAAATGAAGACTAAAGCGGAGTGTCGCGCTCTGTATACGATTTTAGCGCCTTACAAGTGCGGACACTTTTTAGCGCGGACCCGACGTCCATATAATTGTAAGTCAATGAGTAATTATTAAAATTTCATTTCGTTGCTGTTGATTTTAGGCTTTGTTGTGGACGTTTTGTTGGGTTTTTTATTTCTTATTTTGTTTATTATTTATTCTTAAATTATTGGTTCTAAAGCGATTCCCTCTCCGTTACAATTTATCTCGATAAGATATTCAAATTTTTTTTATATAGATTTTAAGACTTTCGTGGTTATTCACTAAATGATTATCACTAGTATCAGATTTCTTACCACGGTATGACTTCTTTTTATTTTCCCGATATTTCGGAACGGTTGCACGCTCCATGGTCACGGGTTGACTGGACGGCGGCAGATGACAGCTTTATGAGCAGACATATCTGTCTACCCTCTTGCGCTGTCGACGACTACCTTCATCGCGATTTGTAGTGGCGTTACCATTGTCACTCACTTTTTTCACACAAACCACACTCACTGTATCCACACGCGTTCAGTTTCGCAAGAAGTCATACCGTGGTAAGAAACCTGATACTAGTGATAATCATTTAATTTTTTTTTAATTCGATTTTAAGTCACTACATCCCTAGAACCGTCAAATCTCAAACGTCACGTTACCTATACTATGTGGAAATAACTATAGTAGCTGTAAGTTTGTTATATCTAATTAAAAATTCGACTAGTATACTACTACGCAGTAGCGATTGATTGGTTGTGATAACGTGACGCGAGTGGAAAGATAAGACAGACGGTAGCTGTATGTAAAAGATTACTAGAAAACAAAAAGTACAAAGAACCACTTGACATCAAAATTATGGACCGTTCCACAAGACCTTTATGAAAATAAAAATGAAGCCTTATAAAAAAAGTGCCAGTAGCAAGGCATGGATATTCTTAAAAGTGAATCTGGCTCAAATCTGTGTGCTACGGTGTATATGTATTAACGGCATAATATTGTATTGACCCGTGCACTAATGATTTAACCACATAAATAACTAACGAAAACACCGAAATTAGCAGACAATGGCTGAAACGGTTATTTCTAAAAACAAACAAGAAAGTCGCTATTATCATTTTCAACAAACACTAAGAATAACGCACTCTTAGCCATTATACTTGAAGTGCGTCAAACGACAGACTACCGCGCTGCTGTCGGCAGCAGTCCGAACGAAAAATATAAGAAAATTAAATACAAAAACCGAAGTGGCACAAGTGTTACTTAGTTCGAAATATAGTGTGTCATACGTTGGAGACAAACTTGGAAGACTGGAAACTATTGTCGTATTACAGTTTTTCATTTCGGTCGTTGATTAATATAAATTCGAAGATCAAGTAGTCAGTTAAACCTTTAAAACGCGAAAAAATTATTTCTAATGTTGAAAGTTTAGAGTTTAAAATAAACAATGATTTTCTTGAATGTCACGTGCACTTGACGCGGCTAACCCGTCGCGTTTGATCTATTTGTTACTTCCTATAGATTCAGTAAGCCACAGAACCGAATGAACGTTACATAGCGGTGAAATGCATGAATTGCTTCGCCGGCAAGTGCGGGTGATTCTGACCTATCATCCTGCGGGTCTTAACCCTGCCCGTGGCGGAGTGCTGACCCCGAAGCCGCTTGCAGCGCCACGGCCACGCGCCTGCAACCGCCACACAACACACACGTGCCATACACAAAGCCATACACAAGCACACAACACAGGGCCTCCAACCTACTCGCCTTTGCAGATAAAGTACGTACAGAAAGCATTACCAGGAGACAAGCACGCTACATACATGCAATACGGTAAAACGCGTTTTGTGTATTATTTTCGTGTCATTAAAGAATTGGACGAGTACTTCAAAAGTGTGTTTAAAATCGTTCAACTACTCGGGAGAACAGCAACAAGCACAACAGGTTACGGAGGTGGCACTGACCGTCCTGGTCGTAGTCGACGTCGCGCGTCATGGCCAGCAGCTGGTTGCAGCGCTGCAGCGCGTGTTGCAGGTAATCCGAGATGGCCTTGTGATTGTCCAGCACCTCCTCCTCGGCGCGCTGCAGCTCGTCAATGGCCTCGTGGAACGTGTACATCTCCGCCGACATGTCGCCCTCCTGGTACAGGGAGACCATTTTCGCTTACCACATCAAAATCGGACCACATCTCTTAAATTTATTACGCCTTTCTTCTATAGTTTTATTTTATATCTACATTTATAAATCTTGTTTTACTAGCACTATACTATTCGTAAGGTTGAAGTATTTAACCTGTTTATGGAAAGTACTGAAATAGGGTACTACTTCACACACACAAAAATGACACTATTTTTTTTGTGCCATAGCGCTTACTTTGATTCACACACTTCACTGTGGAAAAGCAGTAGGCGGCAATTATGCAGAATGCACTTGCAAATCCCACTGTAAAACGCCTTGTTGGTTCTCTGAGATCCATATATCAATACGTACCCTGTACTATCATATTCTGATTTTTAATTTTTCGTAATATAAAGTAACTTTCTCAAAGACGCTCGGAATGACGCTGATCATTGAGATGATGAGATGAGACGCTGGTCATTTATGAACCGCGCGACATCTTCCCAGCGAATGGCCGCGAAGTTGGTATGAAAATTCATTACAATCCAGTGCTTTTATTATTGCCTCACATTGTTTGAGAAAAGCACTATATACGCCTCGGCGGCAACTATGCGTGTCATGTACTAGATCGTTAGTCTCCCACGACTTAAAAGAAGGGCGGGGCCGTACGTTGAGCGAGCGCAGCTGCGCCAGGTCGTCGTGCACGGGCTGCATGTCGACGTCGTGCGCGTCGGCCGACGGCGACTCGGCGCGCGGCCGCGCGTCCGACGTGCCCAGCTCCTTCACCCTGCACAACACGGGACGACGAAAAAGATGACAGACAATTAAGTTACTTCAGATGTGACCCTATAATCTTAAATAGATTAATTCGTATTGAATAAGTTTTACAAATGGTAATTATTAAATTCGAGTACTTCGATTCAGCCAGCACACAGAAACATGGATAACAATTCATCTTATTGTATTTACTGCAGCTTCTTCTAGCTGCTACAAATTATAAAAAATGCGATTTTTTTTTTAATAACTAATTCTCAATTACTTTGGGTTACAATTACTGTTGCGACAATTTTCCGAAAAATATCAAATAGTGAACATTTTTTCCGGGAAAATTCCCGAAAAATTGGAAAAGTATGATTTCGAAGGCTTATATTATGTTCTACGCTTAGAAATATCTTTTGAAGTTTTATTTAGTGTGAATTTTAAAATAAACTTGTATAGATAAAAGCCGCTTAGAGAAATACGAGATTTAAAATGATTTCACAACAGCGAAAAACCCTCCAACAACGAAACCACCACCATCTCTTTTGCTGGCTCCATCGTTTTCATTCAATAACTTCAATTTTTGACAGGTGTCAACGTCGAATGTGAAAAAATAAAGTAAAAATATGATTTTTCTAAAATTTACATTTTTCCATGATCCAACAATAGGTACAACCCATAACAATAAAATGGCAATACTAGCAGCAGTGACGAACATATGTAACTGGCGAACTCTTTTCTTATTGAAAAATCTATGTATTTACGTAATATATTTATATATTTTTTAACGACGCGTTACCCCGTCACAATGGAGTTAGAGACTGTATGCACCACGTTTTTTAAAACCCCTGAGCTGTTCATAGATACACTACATACAATCGTTACAGCCGTCACGTTGTAGCGGTGCAAACGTCGTCCTTTGGACAACCACTGACAAACAAAGCGCCGTGTAAAAAGAGCTTGAGGTCAAGATTAAAAACGTAATTATTTCTTTTTAAAACTGCATATCACTCCCGAGATGTAACTAACAATTATAACGAAATTTTCACAAAATTTGAAATCCGAGAGGGATTTCTTTCCCGGCAAGCTTCTCAATTTTCGTCTAGGGCAAGTAGAAGGAACGGACCTGTCGGCGTAACGCAGCGTGTTGAGCGAGTGCTCGCACGAAGACATGGCGGGCGAGATCATGGCGATCATGCAGGTGCGCGACTTCTCGCCGATGAAGGAGTCGCGCAGCACCTGCGTGAGCTTGGACACGCGGAACGGCAGGTGGTTGTTGCCCTTCATGCCCAGCGCGCGGATGCACTCCTTCAGCGCCAGCAGGGACTTGTTGATCTCCGCGCTCTCCATCCCTGCAACGCGCCAGTAGGTTGTCGTTCTCCTCTCTCCCCTCTTTTGTTGTAGACAATGTGTGGTACAACACTAGGTTAATTGGTAAGATGGCTCCGCTCCTTTTCAGAGGCTTGTTTACGTAAACGTAAAAATAAATGTGTTATTATAATATAGTCTCTACATTTAAAAAGACTAGCATTTCATTGACCGACAACATTACAGATAGCTATCCACATGTTGATTTCTGCGGTGTTACCATTGCCACTCACGTTTTTTATCGTGTCGTTTACGTTATCATATAATACGAGTCAGTACAGTCAATTCGTGGATTTTTTGATCGCCTATATATCGTCCCTTTTCAATCATCTTAACTACATGGATGCGTCTATATTTAAATGTCTATAGGCTAGAGTGAACATACTTCATAAGTACAGGGACTTCTGAAATGACCGATTTGACGATCCGACATCAATGGCTTTCTAGAGAGCGGCTTATCTCCAAAAATATTATAAATAATTAAAAGTCTAACTTTTTTTAAGAACAAGTCGTGCGTCTGATGGTAAGGTACACGCCTGTCCGTAACAATTGCAGTGCCACTCAGAGCTTTCACGTCACCTTGAGACATAAGTTGACAAGTCCCATGTGACTGTAATTGCACCAGCAATCTTACCCTCCAAAACCGGAATACAGTAATGCTGACATCACTGCTTGGCGGCGGAAATAGGTAAGGTGGCAGAACTTCCCTGGACGAACTCTTTCACAAGGAGCTCTACTGCTACTAATAAGTCACGTCAGGTGACAGTGTTTTAACCAATTAAACGCTCGGTATGTTATTCGCAATGAGTGCCCCTTGAATGGTATTGGCGAAGTACTGACTGGTCTGGCGGTTGGCGGAGGAGGTGTCGGCGCCGCGCTCGTTGCCGGCCAGGTCGATCAGGGAGAACTTGCCGTGCACGCGGTGCATGCCCGGCGACCGCACCACGATCTGGAACACGGCGTGCGACCGCGACGAGTTCGAATTCGCCGACGTCTGCCGCACGCCACAGGACACGCCATTACAACGCAATCTTCGCGTACAATACTACATCTCGAATACAATGTCACCTACACACACTTTAATGAGCATGTAGGGGTACCTACCGTTGTGAATGAACCTACCACATGCGTGACACGTTTTGTTTTGTAAGCGCATTCTTTAGTACCAAGTGCGGTCAGGAAACTTTCGTGAACTGATTTATGACGTCATAACCAAACCATCTTACAAGCATTTACCGAAAGTTGACTTTTTCTTTTAGTAACGGTATTGACTTCAACGTGCGATATACTTTGGATTCCCATTGAGGTAGCCAGAGACTACCGGTAGCCTCTTAGCACGTTACTGACAAACCTCTCTGGCTTCACTTGCATTCATCAATTCTGTCATACAAGCCCTCCTATTCATCTCACTCTGAACCCGAGCTTTTTTAAGAACAGTAAACATTAATGGCCGTCTCTTCCAAATTTACCTTCGACGTTGGCTCTTATCTCTGTGGTCACTCTTCTTTCACTAATTTAAATTTAAAAAAACATTCTTAGCAGGTAGTACTTTTACACCTTAGCAGAATTTTTGATGTTTGTTAATTGTTTTTTTCTTGTAATTTTATTCTTCATCGTAATTATGATTTCGTAAAGAAATATTTGACAATTAGTAATTGTAGTAAATATTTCGACAATGTGCATATTTGCAAGCCAACTACGGCAAAATAAGTTGGATTTATTTACAATAAGAACCAACAGAACCTTATTTCGACAAATAAATTATTCAATGATTAGCCATGTTTAGGCTATCTCCGCTGATAAATGAATTACAGTGCTGAATGTTTTATGTCAGTTTTCTTATAAATAAGGTCCAATTTAAATAGGCGCTGGAGCGACCACTAACCTGCCCCGAAGTGCGCGCCTGGTTCCCGTGTTGAATGAGCTTCAGCACTTCATCGACGTTGTCGACGACCTTCTCGGTGAGTCCCACGATCTGCACCTGCTGCTTGCCGTCTTCCAGCACTCGCAACTTCGCCTTATCCGCCAGTAAGTCGAATACCTTTGCCAAAAGCTCATTATTTATTCACGTGACACAATAAGCAAAAACTGCTTGCTAATTTTGAAGTGTTGCAAGAAAGGATGATTCACTTTCGATTGAATGTTATTGTTTGCCAAAAGAAGTCAAAGCGCTATAAAATTTACATATTCTGTTAGAAATGTCTCAGCCATCAGTCTTTTTCCGGTTTGCTTTCGACATTTCAACATCGTTCCAATTTTCGCAACGAATTTTGTATCACTCGCGCTTCTTAAATTCCAATGTTATATGCTTTTATAATCTAGTTCCGGTCTGCACTTCTAAGAATTATAAATTTCCGTTTCATGAGCGCACCTTTCCGGAGTAGATTTCGAAGAATGAAGCGGACACTATGAGGTTGAGCGGCTTGTACTTGGCTGACTTGAGGTAGGCGAACACGTCGCGGGCAGCCATCGCGTAGATGCCCTTCTTGCAGTCCTGCGTCTTGCCCTGCCGATCGAACAAGCAAATTCATAATGTATACTACAATACAACAGAATGCAATAAAGGTTATTTTTTCTTTATTATTGACAAACTTCTTTCTTAACTAAACTTCTGTAATATACATAAAACAAGTACCTATTGCACCGTATTCCGATAGATAAATAAACTGATTGATTGAACGTGTTAGGCTATCACCGCAGTTAGATAGATAGATAGATTACCATCCTCAATGTTGAATGGAATGAATATAAAAGAAATTGTTACGGTGTTAGTGTTTACCTGGAAGTCGCCGCCCATGGTGTGCGTCTTGCCCGACCCGGTCTGTCCGTAGGCGAAGCACGTGGCCATGCCGCCCTCGAATATCGTCTGCACTAAGGGCTTTGCCGTGTATCTGGACAATAAAAACGACCAATTATAACATCTAGATCTTTAAAGAGAAATTGGTGTGTAGCGTAACATAGCGCGATAATATAAAATCCCGGAATCCCGGAGTCATGTCCATATTAAACATAACGTTTGAGGTCATTGACCCAAAACAACTCAACTAGCGCTTCTCTTTTTTTTTTTCGAATTAAAAACTTTGAACCTTTTTCTTTAGACCATAAATTACTGTAAAGGTAAATATTGTGTGAATTGATGACAAATAATATTTACAAATAACATTATTACTAAGTTATTATTTTATAAAAGAAAATTCGTATGATATTTGGAACCTCTATTTCAAAGTTTTTTAAAGCGCAAGCCTTTGAAATAGATTAAGTATGTAAAGATAGAAATTTTTCATTTAATCTTTTGTGAATACTATGAGTAAAAAAAACGTTATATTACATAGGTAGTAAATATAGTTGTGAATTATGTTACATTTATTTATTAATTGCTGTGATTGTATGGCACAGTGTTCTTTTGAAAGAATTCAGCAGTAGAATTGTAGTTAGAATTAAATTTTCAAAACTCACTTGTAAACTACTTCATTGGTGCAGGAGTCATCGAAGGCGTAGTCGAAGCGGAACTTCTGGTTCTCGAGGTACTTGGTCAGGTCCACTTTGTTCTTAGGCTCGTGCACGATCATCTGGTCTCTAGTCGGCACGCTTATCACATCTACCTGTAACACATTATATTCGATGCATGAAGTTCAGTCAATGT